GGGTGGAGGGTATCTTGCTGTTGTTGAAGTTTTCAGATTTTAAATATGGGTGCTGTGAATATATCTGAAAATAGGTAAGTACGGTTCACTAACAACACATCATTCACAGTGAAATATATACTAATCTTCTGATTAATGAAATTTAAACTTTTCATGTTGTTCCACTAATTATATTAGTATGTTCAAATATAAATTGTAATATACACATACGCTTGTATACGGAGAAATAAAAACAGTATATGATTTAAGGGTGTATCTTGGGGAGGACCATGAGATCAAAGGGACCATATTGTCACTGAGAGGACCAACAACGAAGTTATTACCTCAACTGGCTTTGGGCATATTGGCTCCCACCTTGTCCTTCACACATATGCACATGCCCTCTCTCTCTCTCTCTCTCCCTCTCTCTCTCTCTCGTACAAATCTCTATTTATAAATATATACTCCTCACAGCCCTCAATATCCACCCATCTCCAATCCATCTCATTGTCCATCCCCTCTCTCTCTCTCTCTTTCTCTCTCTCCCCCACCACAAATCTCTCCAAGACTAAAGAAATGGGCATCAAGAAACCAGCAAGACTAACGCAGACAGCAATGCTGAAGCAGATTATGAAGAGATGTTCGAGCTTGGGAAAGAAGCAAGGCTACGACGAAGACGGCCTCCCACTCGACGTACCGAAAGGACACTTCCCTGTCTACGTGGGGCAGAACAGAAGCAGATACATTGTCCCGATCTCGTTCTTGACTCACCCCGAGTTCCAATGCCTTCTCCGGCGAGCCGAGGAAGAGTTTGGCTTCGATCACGACATGGGTCTCACCATTCCTTGCGAGGAAGTCGTCTTTCAAGCCCTAACCTCCATGATCAAATGAACTAGATGATGAAGAAGAAGAAGGTGGCTAAAGACGAAGTTTTTCACAAGCTTCTCTTTTTTTCTAACATCTTCTCTCTCTCTCTAAGTTTAACTCTTTGTTTTTTTAACGGCGAGAGTATCCAAATCTTAGGGTGATCCGTTTTTTTTTTCTTTTTCTTATTCTTGAGTCCATCTATCTAGGGTTTTTAGGGGTCATATAACGTGACCCTTCTAACAAGAAACCCAGAGAATAGATCGTGGGGGTTTATTTAGATCTTGTACAAAATCTTCTCATGTTTTCCTCACGGAACGTTGCTTTTGTTTTTATTTGATTCCGTGAGAGAGATGTTATTATTAATGCCAAGGAAAAAACAATTAAACATGCCTTGTGATCCTGTCTTGTCTTGCTACTGGTCTGAACCCCGATGATTCTTGTGTCTAAAAATGCGAATGATACGTTTACATCACATGAAAATAGCAATGAGAAAAAAAAACATACACGTTCCTTTGTAACGAATTTCAGCTATAAGATTTCATGTACGTCCAATCAAATCGGCGGTGTGTGTAAGCTTTGGACAAAGTGCATGCCTCAACATGGCTTTGTCAGAGAATGTGGGGTACTTGACCATGTACGGAGCAATATGTAAAGTTTCTTATTTAAAAATAAAATGTCTCAAAGTTATAGAATTTAAGCGTGCACTAACTAGACGCTCCATTAAACATGAGGGTGAAATGCGAATTTCTGATTATACTAGTAATCACTATATCATATGTAGGCCAATATATAATATGTGACACGTATTTTGATGGATTGAACTAGTGTGAAATATGAATGCGAAAAAAAAAATTAAAATTAGGGTTGAGAAGCATTGGCATGTGAACTTCTGCATATGCTTTTTTCTGACAAAACTATCAAACCCTTCTTGGACTTTTTCGTTTTCCGCATCATAGACGTGGATGACTTTCTTTTTTCTATCGCCATTTTGATTATCTAAAAGATTTCCAATTGTTCATTTTATATGAGGATTGTTAGTGAAAACAGTTTAAAAAAAACTATTTATAAACTATACTTGCAAAAAGGTTAGGTAAATATGTTTTTATATATAAAAATATATACTATTTAAATTTTACAAAAAATTTCAAGTACAAATTTTCAAAAAATGCATCTTATAAAAAAAATTCACCTAAAAAAATGTACTATACTAATGACTTTTAAAAAGTTAAATACTCTTTATAATAGACATATGTAACATAATATATAATATGTAACAATATCCCAACAAAAAGCAAGTATTATAGTTTCCTATGCATAAAAGTGTGTATATAGTGGAAAAAAGAAAGGACAGCTGCTTTACAAAAAACAGTGAGCTGTTAATCAATTCTTCTTGGCCCCTTAATCATTCTTAGAGACACATTCTGTTTATATTTCACGTCTCATGCTTGCGTGACGTCCACAAACCAAATTCCGTCTTCTACGGCCTTTCCCGTTCCGTACGTACAACCAACTAAAGCTACGTGTTATTATTATTATTATTATTATTATTATATTCATTTTTCTACAGCCAAAATATATATATTCGTCCATTTACTACGTATTTTTGGACTAGACTTATTATAATCTCAATGCATAGAAAATCACATCCAATTTACTGTTTTGTACTATTAGGATTATCTTTTCCGTGAATGGGTTTATTTGAGAGATCATTAAAATCTGATATGAATTTGTTGCTCTTCGTAACGAAATCGTGATAAGGTAAACAAATAAATAAAATATAATCAATCATTTCGAGTATTCGAGTAATTGACTTCAATCCCAAAGTTTCATATATATATATATATATATATACACACACACACACCAGCGTTAATAAACATCGTTAATAATGAATAATGATAGTGGAGAATCTATCAACACACCAGCGTGAAGGGTCTAAGATTTTTCAATCAATGTCGTCATTGAGTCTGATATTCAACTAAAATATAATGCAACGGTAGCTGGAGTTATATCCATTAACGATTTTAAATTTCTCTGAAATTTTGGAGTTTCCATTTAATTGCTTTATATCCCGTGGAATATTACAGACAAATTTTTTTTATATAAAAAAACAGATAATATGCTAATATACATTCACAATCAAATTATCCGAGATTTATTTTTTGCTATCGTGATTTTCAATAAAAAAACAAAAACAAAAGTCAATACTCTGCATTATCTGTTATATAGGCACTATGGGCCTCGTGAGCACTTTTGACAAAGCAAAGCATATTCAGCTAGCGAATAAATGACGAATATACAGATTTAATAATGGACCCACCGCACCCTATTAACGATGATTGCTAACGTCGGATTTCAACTTGTTGATCATTAGTTCCTGTGGATGTAATTAATTAACTGTTAATTAAGATTAACACACACACACACACACATACATCTATATAGTCGTAATTCCTGATAATATATATAATTTTGCTTTTCGTGGAAAGAGAAAGTGCTTTGATGGATATTCACTCACGCAGTGGATTCGCATGTCTCCTGTGCCCTGTGGTACGAAAGTGGTTAGTAAATAATATATTTTAAAGTTTCATCAATTTGATGTAAATTTGAAAAACAAATCATGCTTTTCGCCCCGAGAGAAATAAACTAACTATTGATGTGATGTTTAATTAATCATTAAATAAGTTTATACATATCAGCGTTATTTTTAACAATATTTCTATAATATCATGAAGACATATAAATCAAAATAGTTAATACAATAAATATAGATTGTAATATGGTTCTTATAATTTATTGAATTGAATTCATATCACTATAGATATTCAAGATTTTTTAGAATTATACCATCTATAATTATAAACTAACTCGATCAATAGTACATAATACACCCAAAATAGAAATCAATTAGATATATAACAATTTCAAACTAAGTTAATCAAATTCCAAAAACATATAAAATAAATGAAAAATCGATCGAAAACAAAATTTTATTTAAAATAAACATTTTTAATAAAAACGAATTTTAAATAAAAATGTAAATACAAAGAAGTCTAGTACAAAAATACGATATAAAATAGAACAAACATATTGTTCTGAAAATAAAACATAAAAAAAAAACTGTTCAAACCAAGGAAAAAAACCAAATTAAACAAAAAGAAAATGCTAAATATTAGCTAATGCTAGAACAAGTTAATGAGACATTTTCAACAAAAAAAAAAAGGTTTAATGAGACACCATCATTAAAACCTTAGTGTAAGGGCCACACGATGATGAGATGAGGTGTCAAGGTTAAATAAAAAAAATTGGAGAACTACCAAACTTTTATAAAAAAAAAACATCAATAATGTAATCGATATGTTTACATAAAATGTTTGTTTTATGTACATATTTCATGTTATGTTAACTCAAATTCTTTTATGGATGGGTTAAGACAAAAATTGGAATTAGATTCCATTTGAACATTATAAAAACGTATCGTGGAATAAAATGTCCAACTAGCTTTGGACTCAAACATGGTACAATGTGGCCCAAAGATTGTACTATACAATATACATATATCAGTCATATATAACCAGGGAAAAAAATCAGAATAAAAAAATAAAATTAACTAGTCGTTGGACTAATTAGTGGTTGGGCGGAATCGAATCCGCAAATTACTTGCTGAATAGGGAAATTCCCAAAAAAATCACCCAATTATAAAATAACTATCACATTCATCACGAACTTTTAAAATTTCCAAATTCATACTAGATTTGAAATTTTTTTCTAAAAAATCATTCGAAATTTAAATTTTACCAAAATCCTCATCGGAACACAATTAATTTTGCCACATATGCAGAAAGCGCCTACATGGCGCATACGTTGCATGTATGTGTTCGCCACGTAGGATACACGTGGCATTAATAATAAAAAATTAAAACAAAATTGGAAAAAATGTAAAAAAAATTATAAAAAATGTGAAAAAATTACAAAAAAATGTAAAAATTGTAAAAAATATAAAATTGTAAAATTTTTTCAAAAAATGTAAAAATTATAAAAATTGTAAAAAAATGTAAAATTGTAAAAAAAATGTAAAATTGTAAAATAATGTAAACAATTTTCAAAAATGTAAAAAATTGTAAAACAAATGGTAAGAAATTATAAATTTTTAATTTGTTTTTTAAAAAAGGAAAATTTCCAAAAACAAATCATCTAATTACGAGATAACTATCAAATTCATCACGAACTTTACAATTTTATACTTTTTACAATTTTTACAATTTTTTTACATTTTTTGAAAATGTTTTGCAATTTTACAATTTTTACAATTTTTTGCAATTTTTGTTTTACAATTTTTATAATTTTTACATTTTTGGAAATTGTTTTTACAATTTTTACATTTTTTTGTAATTTTTTCACATTTTTTATATTTTTTTACATTTTTTCTAATTTTTTAATTTTTATTATTATTAATGCCACGTGTATCCTACGTGGCGACAACATACATGCCACGTAGGCGCCACGTAGGCATTTTCTGCATACGTGGCAAAATTAATTGTGTTCCGATGAAGATTTTGGTAAAATTTAAATTTCGAATGATTTTTTAGAAAAAAATTTCAAATCCAGTATGAATTTGAAAATTTTAAAAGTTCGTGATAAATGTGATAGTTATCTCATAATTGGATGATTTTTTTGGGAGTTTCCCTAGTGAATATAAGATTCCTTTCTAGGGAAAAAAAATAACAAAATAATTAAATACAAGAAAGAAAGGGTATATTCGAATTTATTCCATTTAGTTAACCAAGAAAAATTGAATTTACAATGTAAGAAATAAGAATCATAAACAGAGGCTTTCCAAAACAAAACCTCCGACTCAACTCGGGATGACTCGGCATTTAAAAAAAAATACAATCCTAATCGCCATCTCCTCTCAGTCAAGCTTTAATCATAATTAGCTAAAAACCCTCTAATCACACCAAATATCTCCACTAATCGAAGCTTTTTGTTGGTCGGTGACTGAGTCGGCTTCTCCGAGTCAGCCTCAGAACACGGATTTGTCCGCAATGCCAGGAAGCAACGGCTGAGATTCGCCGAAGTACTCGACCCTCTTCGCCAACCCGACATGGGAGCATCTCCGGAGATCCTCCAGCGTCGTCCGCTCACCTAGACAGGCGGACTTGGGACGAGTCACAAATCGCAGAATCTCCTCGAACAGACACTCATCACATGGGATTGCGAGCGGGCCCACCTGAGCGAACCCGTACTCCTCCTCCGCCTCCATGAGAAGCCGCCGGAAGATCGGATGGCTCAGATGCGTCAATCGGACCACAAATCTCCGGCGGCTCATTCCGACGCAGACCGCCACGTGTCCCGGCGGAACATCCGATGGTGGCGCCATGGCGGAGGAGAATGCAGGATAGGCGGAATCAGCGTGCTCCTTCCTCCGCCACTGCTTAAATATTTGACGGATCCGAACAGAAATTCGGTTTTTTTCGCATTTCCCCATCGCCGGAGACATTGCCTCCCGAGAAATATAAAAGAAAAAATGGAGATTAGAACAGAAGATCACTCCGCTTTGAAATCGTCAGTTTCGCATTTCCGGTGAGCATAGCCAAATGAGAGGAGCGGAGGATATTTAAAGGTCATGGGGTTGTGAAACTACCCCTAACGTTTGTGAAATTTACGAGATTACCTCTGCTGCCTTAGGTTTAACGAAAGGTTATAATGTCACCACTAATCACGGTAAATAAGATAGTTACCCATGTATTTTGTTTTAAAATCATTTCCACACTCGGAGTAAAAAGAACATTTGCATATGGAGTCATAGTTCATATGGAGTCATAGTACGGACCCACATTTTTTAAATATAATTATATATTAATACAATATTTAATAAGTAATTAAAATTATATTTGATCATTATTATCATTAATAATTATATTTAGTTATTTTTTACCTTTATAATATTAAATTTGTTTCTTAATATAATTGATAATTATTTCTTGTTTATTTCAATTTTCAATCCCAGATTTATTATACAAATCATTTTTATATCTTATTATTTATTTACACTTTTTATTTTACATATATCACAAATCTTACATTTTAAATATTTTATACATATAATTCACAATAAAATTATATGTAAATATTTTAATTTTTTTAAAATATTTTTATAATAAAAAAATAACGAACATATTTGAGACGACTTTATCCACACTCTAAGATAATATATATTTTTTTCGCAGTAATTTGGTAAGAGTCGATAAAATATAAATAAATTATATATTTTTTCTTTAACCTTAATTCTATATTTGAATCGAAGGAGAAATCTATATTATTTTTGTTATCTTTTTACATGTAATACATTTCCATTGTGGTGATTTCGTCACACTGTAACGACTGTCAATAACTATCATAAAATAAAAGCATGCAACTATTTACACAGTGATGAATTTTCTATTTATGATAAATCAATTAATTTTTTTTCACACATTTAGAAATTTTGTTTGACAAAATAAGTTCAGATAATTTTTTTATCACATTATAATTTATTTTAAGAATAAACGAAAGTGATAATGTTAAGAATATACACAATTATACAATGGAACGAATTATTTTTACTATAATGTTTTTGAACCAAAATAGATAGCCCCTTGCATGAGAAGGCAAAGAGAGTCACAAGATAATGATAAAAAAAAAGTTCGAAAAAAGTATTTGGTGGGTTATCATGTGTTGGGGTTGCTTGCATTGCAATTGTGCAAATGATCTGTTTGTCTCCCGTATTGTTAATTAACACGGTAATCGTGATTAGTTTCTGTTAATCTTGCAAGATTTTTGGGAATATATGATGGGTCCTATGGATTTTGGCTAACTTCTCACAAAATATAACTATTTCTGAAAATGACTACAATAGGAATAGCTACCAATTTGTTATGGTTAAAATCTAGATTCGAAAAATATTTCCTTTTTTTAATACCCACAGATTTTTGACAAAAACAATGGTTAAAAATTAATTAGAAAAATAATTAATTAATGGGCTTTTTTAGTCATTTTAAATTATTCTCCTTTTTCAGAAATGGGTTTTTGGATTCCTTTTTCAAACTCGAATAGGATTCTCTTAAAGAGTAATGTTGGGCGACCGTAATCTTTTGTTATGTTCCACCGCTACTATATCAGTGCATTCTTTTAAAGATTCCCATATATTAAAATTAATTATTATAATAAAAAATATTTGCTACTATATCAGTGCATTCTCCTTTCCACAATTGAATTTTATTTTTTTACAGTTGCCAAATTAATATTTAATCCTTAAATTAAATGTAATATTAAAGAGTTCTTATATACCCTAATTTAAAGGGTTAATCACATAAAAATACCCAAACTTTTACAAAAATTCTAAATAAATACCCGAACTATAAAATTATCATATAAATACCTGAACTTTTCTAAACTTTCATATAAATACCCAAACTTTTAAATTTTTTCCAAATCAAACAAACGCAACTGCTAACTTAGCAAAAAACTGCTGACTCAGCAAAAAAAACTACTGACTCAGCAAAAAAACTGCTGACTCATCATTCAAAAATATTATTAAACATCCAAATATTCATCTACATGTATTTAAATTAATATATGCATATAAATTCACATATATATACAAATATATATATATATA